TCAACTTACGACCGGTTTAGTCCTCGACTTACGACCGGTTTAGTCCTCAACTTACGACCGGTTGGGGTTGCGGCATTAAAAAGGTTGAGAACCACTGCTCTAAATGGAAATACAATGTTGTTGTTCACTTCCTTCAGTGCCTGCTGATTGACTGAAGCTCTAAGATGACTTGAAAAACCCATGATGCCTTTTTTTTTCCCTTCAAGTTTTAAATTCTGAGAGACTGCCTAGACAAGTTTCTGTGGTTTCCTTGGCAATTTTTTTCAGAAAGTTTTTTTTTTCCAGAAGTGGTTTCCCACTGTCTCCTTCCTAGAGCTGAGAGAAAGTGACTGGCCCAAGGTCACCTAGCTGGCTGTCTCCCAGTTCCTAGCCTGGTGCCTTGACCACTACATCAAAGTGGCTCTATGTCATACAGTCATGTAGCTATCATGGCTACACAGAAGTTATCTGAGCAAAATCTGTTGTAGTGGGATATCTCTGGTTTAACAGGAAAAGCAAGCTGCTGCTGGAATGTGCCCAATCAAGACAACATTGTTGATTTTTGGGTTTCCCTTTATTGTTTCTCAAATCAAACTAAATAAATAAATGTGTTTTGCAGTTTAATGTAATGTCCAAAATGCAGTGAAAAAATTCTGTGCTGTTCTATAAAACCAACTTGTTCTTTTTAAAAATATATATATATAAACTTTAACGAAGAAATACCATCCTCAGTTGCATTCTTTTATTTCTTAGCTCCTGTCTAAAATTGTCTAAAAATAATTTAACCTGTATTTCTGGATTTTAGTTATTTTGAAACAAGATATGAATTCAGAAGTACAAACAAAAACTGGATTGCCTTCTAAAAATGGGATTCCCACTCATTTTGCTCATAGCTTGACATAGAAGGAGGAGCAGCAAAGGAGAAAACTTTTGGCAACAAAGAGCTTTCCCATAAAAAGGCCTGGATTAAAAGACTGCATAGTTGTGGGGGGGAGAAGAGATTCAGGGCAGCCACATCCTACTTAGAACTTCTCAGGATTTATCTAGTAAGTAAGAAAGTTATAGCTTTCTTACCTACTAGATAAAGTCTCTGTCCATTAGGTATAAGCAATAAAGGATTGAACTCGATTGGATCTCACTGTCTCATGTCCGGGTTTCAGCATGACAATTTCACATTAAAACTTCAGCAAATAAATTGCATTTACTAATTCTGTGTTCCTCCAAAGGTCAATATGAGTATTATGAACTGGAGAAAAAAAATCATATTTACAAATTCAAAGTGAGCAATAACACATAGTAGCATTGGGCTAATGGCATACATTATAGCAGTTTGAGTGCTTTATCTTCTGTTTTGGTTGGAAGCGGCTGTTCCAGAATGGTTAATGATGTAATTAGAGATTGTTGTGTTAAATGAGGCAGTATTTAAATTGGCTTCTAATTTTCCCACCTATTAACCAGCTTTCTTCCCCCCCCCCCACTTTTGCAAAAATCACCGTAGTAGACTAATTCACAGCAACAGCTGATTATTAACTATAGAATATTAAGAATCCTGTGCTTCAGCCACCAGAAAATCAGCATGCAGGGTACATAGTTCAGTCTGGCTGACATTCCATATAAAAATTCCTTTCCTCCTGCTGCTTAATTAGTTTTGTAGAATTCACTATTGCTTACTGAAGGGGGGGGCTTTACTTAGATGGCTTTAAAACAGAATGCCAACAGAAACAGCATTCCATATAATGGCAAAAGTCAACCCAAATTTCATAGGATCATTAATTTCCATGAGATTTTGCCAGGCTTGCCTCTAAACCTGTGAGATCTCACACAAGAACATTGGGACCTTGCGCAGGAATGTTTAGCAGTCTTCTATAAGATTTTGTGATTAGTGAGTTCCACCTAAAAGATCAGAATCACCAGAAAAGCAGCATAGGTTCATCACCATGAACAACCTGCCTCCAGAAGTGGTGAATGCTCCAGCACTGGAAGTTTTTAAGAAGAGACTGGACAGCCATTTGTCTGAAATGGTATAGGGATTTTCTGCCTGAGCAGGGGGTTGGACTAGATGACCTCCAAGGTCCCTTCCATCATCATCATCATCATCATCATCATCATCATCATCATCATCATTATTATTATTATCTTTTGCATTTGATTCAAACTACTTGGTGTAAAATTCTTACATCCACTTCTTCACTAAACAAGTCAGATAGAAATGCAGCTCATCATAATATTTAATGACCATTTAGGTCGAGGCCCCAAGCTCTTTAGTTAAAGGGGAGTCAAAGTCAACAAGTCATAAAAGGGCCAAGATTCCCCACCTTGGCCTTAGACAGACCCATTGACTTTTTGTTGTTCATATTGACCATTTTGGCAAATCCTGATTTAGGTAGTATTACTGTTTTTATTGAAATCTTTGAAGAAAGGAAAATGTAATTTGTTAGAATGATATCTGCCTGTTCCTTTAGAAAAATAACATGCAGAAATTTATCAACCTACATAGTTTCCTTTAACACTATAAAAGATGATCCCTGGAGGACCATGGCGGATCTGAAGGGGGCAGTGCAGGACAGAGGGGCATGGAGAATGCTGATCCATAGAGTGGCCGAGGGTCAGACATGACTGAATGGCTGATGACAACAATGATAGTTTCCTTTGCAGGGAAAGATTTCAGTATAGAGCAGGGGTAGGCAACCTTGACTCTTCCATGCTGGCTCAGAAATTTTGGGAGTTGAAGTCCACAAGTCATAAAAGAGCCAAGGGTGCCTACCCCTGGTATAGAGGAACAACCAGACAATCCTTCTTTGGCACTTCTGATTAAATGATTTTGTTCCCTTCCCCAACTTAACAAACACCTTAGGACTTTGATTCCCAGAATTCCTAGATAGCATGACTTCAGCTGAGAATGTAGGGGTTAATTGTCCCTGCACAACTGGATCACACAACTGGAAGGCTGTCACGGATTTTTGATTCAGGCTATACAAATCTTGTTAATATTATTAATGATATGAGCTGGCGTTCCAAAATCAGTAATGTTTACCTTTTAATCACTGTCTATTCTCTTGTGTTTTATGTTTATGCTAGTTTCATTTAGATGTGGAATGTTAATCTGGATAGCAATTAATCCTTGAATTCTGGTCAAACCCTGAAATGGGTTTGCTGATTTCATGTTTGACTAAACTTAATTGTAGATGATATTTTTATTTGCGGAAAAAGTATTTCTTCAACAGACTGAACAAGATTTAAACTATTAAAAAACGTTCCTTAATGGTAACGTTTACTGGTGTTTCTTTGATACTAATGTTTAACTGAAACACTGTTTTAATTAGGTATTGTGTGGTGATGGGCTTTGTCAAATAACAATTTCACCCAACCGTTATATGGAACTAATAATTTTCAAATGCTTTATTATGTCTTGTAGTACTTGCAATGAAGTGCTACTACTCTAAGCTTTGTAGATTTTCTCTGAATATGTCCAAATTTCTCCATTGTGCTTCTCTACTAGTAATCTCTATAACCCAATAATAAATTATAGTTTTGAAATATTACAGACATTTCCTTTACTGTCCTGAGTATTTATTCCTATTCCTAAAATATTATTTATTTCTTATAAGTTTAAAGTCCTAGGTTTCAGTTAATTATAAATGTGGCTTTATACATATGGTCAGGCATAATTCTATGTAAAATTATTTTCTGATTATTAATAGTTCAAGGTAGGGGAAAAGAAATAATCCCCATCATGGTTTTTAGTCAAGCAATATACCTGCAAGTAAAGGCAACATGCTGTATGGCTAGTCTATAGTATGCAGTTTCCTGCTGAAACATAGCAATCATGTAGCAATAACCATAAACATATGGCTTGCTGAACTAAATGGTTTACAGGATGTTTACTCGAATTAAAATGGAGGACAAAATGTGTTATCCAGATTGCTAAAGATTCTTTTTAAAAAAAAAAAATATTTTTTTTTCAGATCAGAATACCAAATCTGTATTCTCAATTCTATTACTTTCTTCATATTCTATCCTTATTATTCTACTCTTTCTGCTGCTACTAATCTATACTGTTCCTACAAATTTCTTGCTTTAGTGCTATCCATACAATATGAAAGAATGATAAATTTCTACCCCCTAATACTTCTGATTCACCCTCTCTTTCTTGGTCTTTCCCCTATTCATTTCTCAGCAATATGGCACTTTGGCTTTTAGAAGTTGCAACACAATTTTGTTATCCAGATAAAATCTATATACTACTAAAACTCTCATTGTGTTTGTCTCTTTGTAGCCTCAAATTATTGTACTGCAATAGTTTTTGAATCAAAGTACCTACAGTAAAATCAACTAACTTTAAAAAAATGCCTAAAAATCTAGGTCCTCTTACTCCTGTTGAATTTAAATTTCCACAAAACAGTTCAGACCAGTTTTGGGTTGTTGTTTTTTTTTTGTTTGTTTGTTTGTTTTGCAAAGATGGCTGTTGCAACATCCCCATAGTCATGTAATCATGACTTCTGATGTTCCCTGCCAGCTTTACCCTAGCAAAGTCAATGAGGATGCCAGCAGGAAGTGGCTCTCACTCCTACTGCTTTCCCCCCCCCACACGGTCATTCTATTTATACATTTAGGTTTAGGTAAGTAAATGTTGATTATTGTAGTGCACTTGCTACTACAGTTATTTTTCTGATTATGATATATATTCTTCTTAGAAGATCATGGAACTGTCCAACATAGAGGTAAAAGAAAATCCGGTCAGCCTAAAATTTAATATTCATTCTGATCCAATCAGATTGTGCTTCCTTTTTCTCAAACAGTGACCTAACAGGTCACAGGGTGGTCTAGTATAACTTTAAAATTTAAAGATCTAAATATATTTCCATTAGCCAAGAACCACCCAAACCCTAAACCCTCCAGAAGGTTGAAAAGTTGAAAAAGTAATGGTTTTTAAATTGCATTTCACACTTAGGTCACAAGCTTTTTAAAAAATCAATTTCTCTGAATATAATACAAAAATAACTTTCTTTTCTTTTCAACAGCTAAATATTCTAGTTGACACGGGAAGCAGCAATTTTGCAGTTTCAGGTGTACCAAATACAGATCTGACCTCATACTTCGACACAGAAAAGTAAGAGTTTTGATCCCTATTTCCCCATTCCTTAGGACAGTGGCCCCCATCCTTTTGGGCACCAAGGATGTGTTCCATGGAGAAAGGTTTTTGCTGTGGACTGCAGGGAGTATGGTTTTGCATGCTGCCTGCATCCTGCGGATGGGCCTTTGCTTGTTTATGTATGCCGCGGATTGGTGCCGGTCCATCAGACTGGGGGTTGGGGACCCCCGCCTTAGAAAACTGTATTGAAGTTTGTATGAAATGTTAGGGGAAAAAATAGCAAAGGTAGATGGAAGTCTTTCTTTACAAAGCATGGAATAGGATCTTTATTTAAGTGTTCTGGCATACTTTTGATTGTGTATCTGTATTAGAATTATTTAATTGATACACATGATATGATTCCCTCCAGCACAGCAATTTCCTCTCTTTAGCAAATGAGTTTTCTAAAGATGAAAAGAACAATCCTTAGTCCATCCTAGTACTGTTTGAGAAATGTCAGATTCCTAAAGCCAAGAAAGACACACTGTGATTCTCTGAGCAGTTTCCCCTATAGTTCCTCACCTATAAATAGAAAACTTGCTAAACTAAAGGAGATTACTTGCACCATAAAACAAATATTCTGGGAACTATTAGAGAGATGCCATCATTACCCTTTTTCTCCCACACCAACTATCCAAATTGTGGTGTCTCTTGCTCCTCTGCAATGCACTCCCTTCCTCCTTGGAATCAGGGCAATATTCCTTCACAAGAAGCTATGCCACAGTTATATTCTGTAAATATGCAATGGCATTCTTCCTTTTTTCTATGGCACCTGTGACTGACTGCAGTGCCACACATGGATACGTGCTTATATCAAATGTATATGTGCTGTGTATGCAATGAAGCAATATTATCATATTGTATCACGCTGTAAGCTGCCCAGAGTCTCACTGTATCAGTGAGATGGGTGGCAGAAAAAATAAATAAATTTAATAAATAACTTTATTGAAATAGTGAATGAAGACTTCAAGTTAAGATTGCTGTAAAAAGTGCATTACTAATGCAGTTAAAGGTCATGTTGTCTTAAGATGAAATAGTTGCATGAATCTATTTCATATTCAGATACTGCAAAGCATCTAGCAACAGGACAAGCTTAATTGTGATGGAATGTAAATGACACCTAACATTGTACAAAAAATGGTATTTGTGCATAATATTTTCACAGCAAAAAGGAAGATTTAAAAAGAAAGGGGGTGTAGCCCTTTGTAATAGGACGTTCTTAGCCCCAGTTCCACACGGTGGAACAAATTCATTGCATATAAATTAAAAGACTGAAATGTATGTAAGGATATGTTGTTCCCAAAACTGGGTCTTAGCTTGGTGTCGAAGCCAATTGTTCACCAAACCCAAGATGTGGAGAACAAAAAGACTTTTATTTGGTACCAAGATGAAAGTGACCTCGGCTTTGAAAGCTACCAAGGCGTCGTTTACAGTTTTACAGCAGTTTTTATAGTCAAAGGTGGTTTTCATACACCCCTCTGCCCACCCAACACATCCCTTTTCCCTCCCCCTGATAATACATGCATAACATATGATATTGATTGGTTACCTGGATTGCAGCCCCCTAAAGCTTTCTCGCCTGCTATGCAAAATAGCTAAATGTCACGCCATCTTTGCCCACCTTAGGTCACGGGAATATTACAAAGCTTCTAGTACCCAACATCCTGGCTAAATGGTTGAACCTGTGAATCTGTCTCGCTTCATTGTCCCTGCACTCCCCATCCCACGCAGCCCCCCTAACATGTCAACTGTTAGCAAGCTTGTCTGCAAAACCCTCAGCAGAAAGGAAAAAAGCTGTTAAAGAAAAAGTTGTTTAAGAGTAAATGTTTCTTCTCAGAATTCATCTTGCTCACTCCCATGTCCATCACAACCACACCTGAGTCCTACCTCCACATATGACCCTTCTTCTGATCCCCTTCTGATCCTCATCTGCACGTACATTCTTTCATCTGACCCTTCATATATAGAGAGAGGAAGAATTTGCCTGACTGATGTGGTATCTGGAAAATGGTGGTTGGGTTACATCCTGCTTGGTTGGTTGTACTGCTTGGTTGGTGGGGCTTTGCTGAGTTTACATAATAGATATAATTACTATTCTTGAGAATGGTGAACTGTGTATATGATGCTTTTATCACAGAATATGGAATTACTTGGTCTATAATTTTTTGTTTCTTTCCTTAGGTCAACCACATATAAATCACTCAATCTTGAGGTGGCTGTTAAATATACTCAGGGAAGTTGGATTGGAATTCTTGGAACAGATGTTGTTAGAATGCCTAAAGGAATAAATGGCACTTATATCATCAACATTGCTACCATTTTTCAATCTGAAAATTTCTTTTTAAAAGGCGTTCAGTGGCAAGGGATCCTTGGTTTGGCATACAGTACATTGGCTAAGGTAAACTATATTTCTTATTCATCAGTTTCTTTATATGAAAATTAAGGCTGGTACTGTATACAAATGAAAATTTCAAAGCTTCTTCTATGATTTTACAAATTTGTATCCTAATCTACATTGCTAGTATTCCTGCATGATTTCACATCCAAGCACTACTCACCCAAGTTATCCCTACTTAGCATTTTAAAGTCATCAACATGCTTATTCAATAATGATAAATATTTTTTATCAATAAAATCATTTTATCATTTACATTCATTCTTAGGAGGGAGAAGTGAACCTGCAGTTCCAAGGCCATAGGTGTTCCCATCCTGCAAAATTTATCCCCAAATTACTAAATGCATGGGGAAGTAATCATTATCTATATTTAAATCTAATGGAAATGAAATTAAAGGAAACTAAATGAGTCCACATGTGTAAGTTCTCACCCATCTTTAAAGAATAGTATAATGCTCGAAAAGGTGGGAAAAAAGAACAGCCAAATGATTAGGAAACCTTTGCTTCTCCGCTGCAAAAAAAAAGAAAAGAAAAAAAGAGTACCACATTTGAGTTCTTTATTGTTGGATGAGCATGATAGAAGTATATAAAATCGTGCCTGGCCCAGATAACATGGACAGAAAGTAGTTTTTTTCCACCCTCTGTCTCACTTAATTTTGATAGTTGAGGTCATGCATTGAAACTAAATGCATGAATAATTATATGGAAAAGGAAATTCTTTTTATACTGTTAAACTGTGAAATTTGTTCCAGCTTATTAAAAACCAGGCGTTCAATTTAGATGGTTTAAAAAGAGACTGGATATGGCCATGGATGGTTACTACTACTACTATTTGATACTAAAATTGATGGTTGTTTATTACCTCCTAATTCATTGATAGTGTAACATAGGAAGATATCCCCCATCTAAGCTTATGAGCTTCCCAAATGCATCCGGTAAGATCACTGTGAACATAGAAAGCTGGCCTAAATCAGCTTATTGCCTACTGTCAGTCACCAGCTGTTAGATATAATTTGGGTACAAGTGATGCATTGAATGTTATGGAGGCCTCTACTTAATCCAACCACATAGAGGACTATTGGTATTCAAAATTGGCATAAAGGCATAACAATTTAGGAAGTGATAAGGGACTTTCCCAACTCCTGAAGGGCAGGGGAAGAAAGCATAATCCATTGTGGCATAACATTTGACACAAATCTAGAGAAGAAGTATAGGTAGTTTCCAGTTGCAACCACAGTTGAGACTGGAACTGCCATTACTAAGCAACACAGTCATAAAGAATGACCTCCAGTGACTGTGTCACTTAGCATTGTTAGTTCTGGCAATCCAGGTTGGCAATCCAGGTTGCAGATATTAAGTGTGGAAGCGTACACCGCTGTGACTTCCAATTTGCTGTCGGCTTCCCCACTGATATTTGTGGGAAGCAAGCAGGGAACATCTGAAATTGTGATCAAATGACAGTGGGATCACTGCAGGGGCTGGAACTCCGAGGACTGGTCATAAGTCCCCTTGCTCAGTGCCACCACAAGTTTAATGATGAGTGGTCAGGACGTGAGCACCAACTGTACTGAAGTTTTAGCTATTTTATTATTAAAATACAGAAGTACAAAGAGAAAAAAAACCCCTGACTATATTGCATAGTAACAGTTGAATAACACACAAAGAAATAACTACTAAGCAAAGATAAAACACAAATAAAAACTGTATGGGGAAATTTTCTAATAATACGTTCTCCTCTTCCCCTCTTTTTATTTCCCTAGTTCACCACAACACCTAGATAATTTCCTCTAGAAATATTTCTGGAACTGCTGGCCAGAACCTAGAGTGGAAGACCAAAATTAGAGAATATACAGCAATGGCAAAATTGACAATTTATAACCGTATTAGAACTCTATCCAAATTTAAGTAAGCATGCCTCCCTTATATACTACACAATGCGTAGCAGGACAAATTTAGACATTTGAAACACGGTTTTTAGGAAGAAAGCTATGATACCAATAAAAAATAATAGATGAAAGGATTTAAATGGATGCTAGCAATTACCTTCAATGTTTAATGTGTAGCATACGTTTGAGGTTTTAATAATAACCTCAATTTAATATATTTGTAATTCATTGTTAAAATTCCTTTTATCCAGCAAAAGTAATCTGCAGGGGTTGCTCTCTATCAGTTTATTCATGGTGCATCAATTTGTGTACAGCTGAAGTTTTGCAATTTTTTTTTCTTTTCTTTTTACAGCCTTCAAGTTCTGTGGAGACTTTTTTTGATTCTATTGTGAATCAAGCCAAGATCCCCGATGTTTTTTCCCTGCAGATGTGTGGAGCTAGTTTGCCTGTTTCTGGAACTGGTACTAATGGAGGTAGTCTTGTGGGTATCTGTCAGACTGAATGTTAGAGAAAATATGCGTTTTCTTAGACTATTTAATGCAATTAAATCCAATCACTTGACATCTTTCCCATATCCTTTAGAAACAATATGGCTATGGCAGTTTACTAAATCCTGCTAATTGATGATTAAGTTGCAGGAACATAAATTTCTCATTGCTTTATTATTTCTTACAGGGAATTAGCTTAACAGTGACCTAAATATATATGCTAAACTTTAAAATTCAAATTTAAATTTAGGCTTTCCTTTGTTTAATAAACTACAGGCAGTCCTCGACTTACGCCACACTTGAACCCCAAATTTCTGTTGTTAAGTGAAAACATTGTTAAGTGAATTTTATCCCATTTTACCACCTACCTTTCCACAGTTGTCAAGTGAATCACTGCAGTCATTAAGTTAGTAACATGGTTGCTAAGTGAATCTGGCTTCCCCATTGACTTTGCTTCTCAGAAGGTTGACCCCAGGACACTGCAATAAATATGAGTCAGTTGTCAAGTGGCTGAATTTTGAAGATGTGACTGTTGTCCCCAATTTGGGTCTGAGCCTGGTGTTGAGGCCGATGAAGATCCAGGTTTTGTTTTCTTTTATTGAAGTGCTCCAAGAAAAGTGATCCTGGCCAAAATGTCTAGGAACCTCGAACCACAGAATTAAGAAAGCTTTATTCATTTCCACTAATGCAGAAAGCCAGATAAGAAATATCATCTAATAAACATTTTAGTAATGATCTAACAATTATTCTATCAGTCTCTAGCCATCCTTATTCCTAAGCCTTGGCTAACGAACGCTTCAGAAATGACCTAATACACATTCTATTTGCTCCAGGCCATCTCTATTCCTAATTTTTAGCTGAGCTATACAAGATGCCTCTTTATTACTTTTATCAGTTTTCTAACCACCCTGTATTGTTACAAGCTTTACACGGGCATATTCCCTGTGAATAATCATACTTTGTTCTTGCCAGACCAACTCCACAATTACAGGCTTCCCGATCTCCTTTCAAGTGTATACCATAGCCTTGCTTTGTTTTGGCATCCAGCCCATCATGACCATGGGGATGCTGCAGTAGTCATAAGTGTGAAAAACGGTCATAAGTCACTTTTTTCAGTGCTGTTGTAACTTTGAATGGTTATTGAATGAACTGTTTAAGTCGAGGACTACCTGTATTAAGTCAAAGTGTAACCTGGACAATCACAACTGAATTACTGTATCAGTCTTCCAGTACTTTTCCTTTAATAATCTTGAAAACTTGAGAACCATAATTTCCATTTGATGTTTTTAAAGGAAAGTTAAGATATTTTTTCTTGTTCATTTTGTTTGTTTTTATTTAAAATTCAGTGTTTTAAATGTAATTTGTTTTGTAAAAGAAGTAGCAATAATCCTATTTGTATTTTATTTTTAAAATGTGTCCAGTTAAGTTCAATGGTGCTTGCTTGCATAGAATCACACGAGACAAATACATAGTTCAAAGCTATTTAATATTTAAAAGGACATAACGTGGTGACATTTTATACTACCAAGCATGATTTTCCTCCCAGTAAACTACTTTTAAAAAGCAAACAATACAAAAAGGAGATGCAGAATCCCATTTTATTCAAATTAGTAATCTGATTTTTTTTCATTGATCTCTTAAATTAAAATGAATGTTTAGGTGGTACACAAAAATATAAACGCCCATGCAAGCTCTTTAACTTGCTGACATATTGGGACTACAACTTCCCCAATTCCCATTCAACAAAAGAATGACTAGCCTGTACATGGATGGACACCTGTCCGCTTACATGATCGACATTTCAGTCAGCTGAACAAATAAATGTAGCAAGAAGCCACAAATATCATTGAACTTTGTCCTGCAGACTTACCTGAATTCATCCCCACTGCTTTATCTTAACAATGAAAAGGTGTGGAGAAAGGTGTGCAAGCTTTGTGAAATTTCAAAATAGGAAGACTTTAAATCCAGTAGATTCATTGCCTTCTCCATTTTCCTCTGATGAACAGATCTGTAGAATGCCCCATTTTCCATCAGAATGCCAACTATTGAGAAAGCTTCAGAGAAAAATTTCCCTCTTCAGCTATGTAGGGAATACCAACAGCCACATAGGGCATTCTCTTAAAGACATAGCATTACATCTTTAGTTGATTGTTTCTGTGGTATTTAACCGATTAGAAATCAACTATAATTGTATATATTGTATATATTACAGCAGCATAACAAATGAACAGAAATGAACAGTTTGAAAATAATATGCTGTTCATTGTTCAGAGATGGAGGAACTATTTAAATTATATTAATAACATTTGTGACACAAGGATTATTTGGATCTTCTTGGGTCCAAGTAATTTTTGAAATTGATATGGTTTATTTTTAAAAAAAATGCAGCCCAGATTCTTAGCCATAACTTTAAATGCATAGGTTTAAAAATGAAAAGTTGTTTAGGCTAACTCAGACAAAGTATTATCATGAGGTGCTTTACAAAGTACTCCTCCTTAAAACGTTAAAGAATCTGTGTCCTCAGAACATTTGTTGTGGCTGCTTCGGACTTCCCCTCTTTTCAAACGTGCTGACAACTAGAGAGAGCCTTTGATATAATTGTATGTACAAGTAGCCTTCAACTTACGATTACAAATGAGCCCAACATTTATGTTGGTTAATGAGACATTTGTTAAGTGAGTTTCACCCCATTTTACAACCTTTCTTGCCACAGTTGTTAAGTGAATCATTGCAACTGTTAAGTTAATCATACGGTTGTTAAATGAGTCTGGTTTATCCATTGTCAGAAGGTCACAAAAGGGGATCACATGATCCCAGGATACTGCAGCCATCATAAATATGAGTCAGTTGCTAAGCATCTGAATTTTGATCACGTGACCCCCCCTCTCTCTCTCTGTGTGTAAAAGGTAATTTGCTTATAAGCCTAGTTATTTCTGATCAACTTTTTAAAAACTGTTTTGATTGACTGACAGTATTGAAAAATCAGATGTCATATTGAATTTATCTATTTATATACTTATTACTGTCATTGAATCATTTTGAAACCATCTGTTAAATTGTAGACATATTTTATAACTTAATTATATTTGATTAAATGATAAAGTAATTTTTTTTTATCTCTTCAGGTACTGGGTGGAATTGAACCAAGCTTATACAAAGGAAAAATTTGGTATACACCTATTAAGAGAGAGTGGTATTATCAAGTTGAAATATTGAAATTTGAAGTTGGGGGCCAGAATCTTAACTTGGACTGCAAAGAGGTATTTTTAATAAGTAAAAGTTATAATTTAATATCCTTCCACTTAATGACAAATTTCACATGTGTAGGATCTGCTCCACAGATTCTCTCTGTGTATATGCAGAAAGGGGCATGGAGTTCTGTCGCTACACAAATAAAAGGAACATAGGCCTGAAAATTGTCCTTCTGTATGGCTCTCATTATTTTCTTATTATCCGTCCTCAAACTGGTGAATATATTTTTAATGGTCATTTGTAAAACAAGTAACCATTTTACTGTAGAATTATTTCATTCTTGAGTTATTATTTCTGTTGTACAAGCCTAACCAAACTTGGTTATTATTATTATTATTATTATTTATTAAATTTATATACCGCCCTATCTCCCTTGCGGGACTCAGGGCAGTGAACAGGCAATACTAAAAACCACGAATAAATAAATAGTTTCTGTTTTAAAATCGAATTGAATAATAGGCCTGTTCTAAAAACACACCCATACAAACCCCCCCACTGAAACACAATCCAAACTACGCCAGGCCGGCCGCACGGAATAGATGGGCCTTCAGGGCTGAATATCTAGTCTGACCTCCTGCTCAGGCAGGAAACCAGACAAATGGCTGTCCAGTCTTTTCTTAAAAATGTCTAGTGTTGGAGTATTCACAACTTCTGGAGGCAGATTGTTCCACTGATTAATTGTTCTAACCGTCAGGAAATTTCTCCTTAGTCCTAAGTTGCCTCTCTCTTTGGTTAGTTTCCATCCGTTGCTTCTTGTCCTGCCTTCAGTGCTTTGGAGAATAACTTGACTCCCTCTTCTTTGTGGCAACCCCTGAGATATTGGAACACTGCTATCATATCACCCCTCATCCTTCTCTTCATTAGACTAGACATTCCCAATTCCAGCAACTGTTCCTTATATGTTTTAGCCTCCAGTCCCCTGATCTTCTTTGTTGCTCTTCTCTGTACTCTTTCTAGAGACTCAACATCTTTTTTACATTGTGGTAACCAAAACTGGATGCAGTATTCCAAGTGTCGCCTTACCAAGGCATTGTAAAATGGTATTAACACTTCACATGATCTTCACGTGATCTTTGTTAAGGCAGCCCAGCGCTGTGTTGGCTTTTTTGGCAGCTGCAGCATACTGCTGGCTCATATTTAAGTGATTGTCCATTAGGACTCCAAGATCCCTCTCACAGTTACTACTATTGAGCAAGGTACCACCTATACTGCATCTGTGCATTTGTTTTTTCTTGCCTAAATGTAGAACCTTACTTTTTCCACCATTGAATTTCATTTTGTTAGATAGTGCCCAATATTCAAGTCTGTCAAGATCCTCCTGTATCTTAAGCCTGTCTTCTGAATAGTGTTGGCTATTCCTGCCAGCTTGGTGTCATCTGCAAATTTGATGAGTTCCCCATATATCTCCTCATCTAAATCATTGATGAAGATGTTGAAGAGCACTGGGCCTAGAACAGAGCACTGCCCCCCCGCTACACACTTCCCTCCATGTAGATGTGGTTCCATTGAGCATCATACACTGAGTACAGCCAGTCAGCCAGCTATGAATCCATCTGGTGGTGATGCTGTCTAACCCACATTTTTTTTATCTTATCAAGTAGTAAGTTGTAGTCTACTTTATCAAATCCTTACTGAAGTCCAAGTAAATTATATCCACAGCATTCCTCTGGTCCACTAATTTTGTCCCCTGGTCAAAGAATGCAGTATGATTTGTCTGGCATGATCTGTTTTTGACAAACCCATGTTGGCTTTTGGTAATGACTTTGTTTGCCTCTAGGTGTTCGCTGATTCGTTGCTTATCTTTTCCAAAATCTTCCCAGGTATTGAGGTCAGGCTGATAGGTCTGTAGTTTCCTGGATTCATTTTTTTTCCTTTTTTGAAGATGGGAACTACATCAGCTCTTTTCCAGTCCTCTGGTAGTTCCCCAGTGCTCCAGGATCTTTGAAAAATATAGTTCAGTGGTTCTGAGATCATATCTTCCAGTTTCTTCAGACCCTCGGGGTATAATCCATCTGGTCCTGGTGATTTGAACTCATTTAGGGTGGACAGGTGCTAACTTACCATTTTTCTTGCCTATCTTAACTTGTGTTTCTAATCTGTTTTTTACGGTACTGTTTTTGATTAGTTGGACTGTTTTTTTCCCTTTGTGTAAAGCGGATGCAAAAAACAAGTAGTTCTGCTTTCTCCCGGTTGCTTGTCACCTTCTTGCCAATTTCTCCCACTAATGGACCAATCATTTCCTTAACTTTTTTCTTGTTTTTTACATGTTGAAAGAAGCTTTTTTGTTGTTGTTATTTTTTACTTTTGTCGCAAGCCCTAGTTCATTTTGAGCCTTAGCTTTCCTCACTTCATCTTTGCAGGCTTGGGCTATCTGCTGATATTCTGCCTTAGTTATATGCCCCTCTTTCTACTTTTTATACTTGTCCCTTTTGTCTTTCAATTTATCAGAGAGTTCTTTATGCAGCCATGCTGGTTTCTTTTGAGAGCTGTTATTTTTCTTTTTATTTGTTTATTTGTTTTTTACACCACCCAAAGACCACTAGTGTTGGACAGCCAGTAAATGTAAATGAATAAACAAAGAAATTAAATTGCTTATATTTGCTTCTCAAGTATACTCTATCTTTTCAGTTGCTCTGTAGCACCATTTCTACATATCTGAACTTTAAGTGAATTCCTAAAGCTTTTGGATATGTCTTGCATTATACCTGTTTCTTTGTATAACATAGAAACTTGTGTAGCATGTTTACAAATTCGGCACAGATTTAGTCTGTAAAGAGTTCAATGGGACTATTTCTAGTGCAGGTTTATTGAAAGGAAATTGCACAAAAGCAAACTAAGTTAATTTAACCTAGTTTAGTTGGGCCCATGTCTAATATTAGTGTAATCAATATTTCTGATAAAATGATACCAATTATGCATATTTATCCCACTATAAACATGTTAGCCTTTAGATTATCTTAAGGTAGTGGTGGGATTCAAATATGTAAACAACTGGTTCTGTGTGTAGATGCCGCTTCCGAAAGTCCATTCTGGGCCTGGGCAACCAAAAATTAGCTATTGGTTCTGCCGAAGTGGTGCGAACCAGCTGAATCCCACCACTGTCTTAAGGCTCTTGATCACTTTTGCTTCTCTTTTACCTTCTTTAGCTATTCTCTTCTGGTCAAATTTTGCATTCTCCAAAAAGTATGTGTAATACTATTTTCTCCACCTTTGATTGAATTGTTTAATGACAATGATAAATAATAGATGCTTCCATTTGGGCTGCTCAAAAAAGACAGCATAGAATATGGACACAGAAATAATGCATGCTCTTAGAAGAATTGGAATTGGGGAAAAAATAGTCCTACTTTTAGGACTTATATGCTCAAAGAAACCATGCTTTTTAATTGTATATAAAAACCAAAGAGTTAAGAGGAAGAGGGAAAAAAGAATTCTCACATGGGGGGTTGTGAAAATGTGCCGGAGAAATTGGAAAGAGAACAAGGAGTGGTGTTGGAGCAGATTTGTACAGATAATGAAATTTCACCTGTTCCTTAAATTTAAATGTGTGACAAATCAAGTGTACCATTTTCCATGTTCGTCACCTCTAAAATACTAGATACCTCTAAAATATTCGACAACTTGATAGTTTTATTTGGTTCCTCTGATATTGATAGTTCATCATAATTTGACCTAGTTGGGAGTTGAAGACCAATACAACTGGGGCTTTACTAGGTAGCAGAATTATCAAGCTCCGTAAACATAATTCCACCACATCTTCCCCCAAGTGGAGGAACTTGGGGTTCTATTAAAAAAAAAAGTAGGTCCTACGGACTTGATATGCATTGTTGTTTGTGAGCATTATTTCTTAAAGGGGAATGTGCCTTTTTAAGCTAGTTCACTCAGCAGCTTGTCTTTTCTGTCTCTGGAGGCTTTTCCTTGTTTGATCAATATATGGAAGAGGGAAAATATGGGGGAGTGGGGTTCAAATTCTTCCTTCAGAAGGAGATGGGAATGAGAAAAAGGGAGGCAGGGGAGGGAGGGAGGGAAGGAAGGAAGTCCCGCCTTAGCACTTGGCCACCAGCAGCCCTGCCATTGACTTTGCTTGTCAAAAGGTTGCAGAAGGGGATCACATGATCCTGGGACACTGTGACCATTATAAATATGAATCAGTTGCCAAGCATCGAAATATAAATCACATGACCCTGGGCATGCTGCAGTGGTCATAAATGTGAAAAATGGTCATAAGTCATTTCAGTGCAATTGCAACTTTGAACAGGTTTTTTTTTTGGGGGGGGTCATCAAGTTTTTGACACCTTGCTAGGTGGTACTCGAATATTGCCATATCCTAAAAGTGGTACAGTCATTAAAAAGGTTGAAAAGCCCTGCTTTAAAGGATGAGGTCCATTAAGATGCCCTTAGTTAATTTATACTATAGGGACACTTTAGAAGAGAGGTCAAGGCTGGTCTTACGATTCTTTTTGCATTGTTGTGCTAGGGAAAACCTTACTCTCTCTTCAAGTCAAGATACTTATTTCCTCATAGTACGAATTAGGTTTTAGAAGATCTGATACTGCCCAGGTCCTTCAATATGTATTTTCATTCACCCTCCCCCCACAAAAAAATGTATTACTGATTTGCTAATTGTTATGACAAGTGTTTTTTTCTCCCCCCCCCCCCTTCTTTCAGTACAATTCAGACAAAGCAATTGTGGACAGTGGAACAACTCTCTTGCGGCTGCCAGAAAAGGTCTTTAATGCTGTTGTGGAAGCCATTACACAGACTTCTTTGGTAAGCTAGGGCTTATGAGTTTGTCTTCTGAGTTAAGTTCTCAAAGGAATTATTTTCAATGCTTATTCTGTAATCAAAAGATTGGAACTAAATGAGATTCTTTTTTCTCCTTTTTGGGTGGAGACTTGATGGAGGCATGTATAAGTTAAATTTCAGTACTATCAAAACTATACTATACCAGTGCATTGAATTTTTTATGTATGCAGCAGATTTGCAGATAAAATATTATTTTGTTATCGGCAACCCTAAACAAGATAAGTATTTAATCTTATTTTTAAGGCATAGCTTTATTTGTTTTAAAGACTGGTTATCTACACGTGGTATAAAGTTCAAAGTGTGGATCATATTAATAAATACTGAGAAATATATCTACATCTAAAAATACGGCAATGAAGTCAGGATGTCAGAACTCTCAACTTTTTGTGCCTGCCCCTTAGCTAGACCAAGGATAATAACCAAAACCAGGTAAGTAATGTGACATTGCTGAAGCAATGCATATCAGGAGTGGGCAGTGTTCTTATGGTCTGGAAGTGCACCTTTTAAAAATGGTTTTGCTCTGTGGGGGTTGCAGGACATGGAGCACAGTGTCATGATGTTACTATATTGAGTGAGGCCAGCATTTTTTTAAAATTCTTTTTGTTTTTGCTCCAATTCCTCAAAAGGTTAGAAATGTTGGTTTCATCCTTGCCGGGAATATTTTGTGCACAGCAAAAGGAGAGTGAGACACTGCATGCAGGTGCCGGTTTGTTGCCTATGCCTGCTATAGATATAGGAAGCAATTAAATGGCAAGTTTCCTAGAAATAAGTAGGAATTTCTTCTCTCGCTTTCTATTCCAGTGAAGAGACTAGAAAACTAAAAGTTAAGTGACAATCTCTACAATACCCCAAGTCTCAGGTTTCACTTAATCTGCCCTGATGAGCATGAAAAGCAGGAAGGCTTCCTCTTGAGTTCAATGCTGACCTGTTCAAATAGTTGCACAGCGTATCTTTTCTTGCCCTGTCTAAAAGGAAGGGGATTCTTTGGCATCTTCCATGGCAGACAGCCCAGGTCTACTGTTTAGCCACCTTTTGCTACATATAGCAATTCCAGATCAAAAGTTCAACATGTTGAAGGCTTCTTGTGGAAGTCTGTAAAGTTCCCAAACAATTAGCGTACTAACTTAAACATTTGTCCTACTTTTTCTTATGAGAATAAATGCCATGGTTAAGATAATGGCATATGTTAAACTGAAATAGACACTGACAATCGGGTAATAGAGAGACTTTTATAGATGCTGAACACTAAACATATTGAGGCAGGGACAGAATTCAGGATCTCCCCCCCCCTTTTTTTTTCTCTCTCTTATAGATACAAGAATTCACATCTGGGTTTTGGAGTGGCACACAGCTTGCCTGCTGGGATAAAAGTGAAAATCCTTGGACCCTCTTTCCTAAGATCTCGATCTACCTAAGAGATGTTAATTCCAGCCAGTCCTTTCGAATCACTATCCTTCCACAGGTCTGGAGCTCTTATTTTACTGTTACTAATATTTATGACAAGGAAGATGGAGCTGGATTAATCATGTGCTAAACTAACAACTGACAGCTATTTGTGTACATCCTATCATAGATATTGCTGTTTGTGTGTGATTCCAGTAGTGATGCTTATTCCCACAGTAGATGTCCAGGTCGTCTCCCATCTAGCCATTAATAAGGTTGACTGCTCAGCTTTTAGTTAATGATGCTGCTTCCATTCTGTGGAATTCCCTTTGCATTTTATAGTCACAGAAGCCATATTTAAGCTAAAGTGAATCTGGGGCTTCCGGTTCTGCGCAGCTTAGCACAACAGCTGAGAGATCGCGGGCTCCGTGCCCTACGGCTGATTTCTTTCTGTTTGGGGACTCTAAATGGGCCAAAAGCCACCCCGGAGAGGTGGCAAAGAAGGAGGGAAGCCCCGACGATCATGGGGAGATGGTGGTCGATCCGGACGTCTGGGGAAAGCTCTCCAGAAACCTACAGAAGAAAGGCTAGCATCTTCTGTGAATCTACATGCAGCCAAAGCCAAAAAGCACTAAACTAAGCGTGATCGTAAACAGTTTGATTGAACTGGGTAAGGATATTGATTCTCTCTTCTACTTGACTGATTTCCTGGGGAAAAAGAAGAAGAAGAAGAAGAAAACCCCAGAAGTAAAAATCCTCCAAAAATCAGAGGGGCGGGGTTTCGCTCCACCCTTCTCTAACGGAAACGGTGAATTAAACTTAAGGGGAATAAAGCTATAGAAATGAAATTAACATAAGGTTTAAAACTGGAAAAGGTGAAATCGATGGAATTTATTAAGAATTTCCTGGTAAAAGATTATGGACAGAGATAAATGATTTGTTTTGAAAATTGAAAAATTGAACTGGTGCTGACATCTAGTGCTGGATGAAAATACTGCTCTAAATATACAGCTCAGGAAAAAAACGTTATTGTGACCTTCAAAGAATTAAACAAAGAATAGCTGCAATGATAATAAAAAGAAAATACTGTGGATTATTTACAAAGTGAGAACTACAAAACTTAGAAAAAAATTGACCTTCCTAGACTTTAAATACTTTTTAAATTGTGACTTTAAACTGATTGGCAGAGAAAGGATTTTTGGTCATTATGGAACATCAGAGGGCTGCAAAAGGAACGTACCAAGAAGGAATAAAGACTTTCCAGGAGGAAATGTATGATATGCTACAACAATTACAAATGACATTAATCTCAAACTATAAGGAAATTAAAAATGAATTTGAAAACTTAACTGAAGGCATTTCTAATTTAATGTCACAACAAATAAATGACCAGAAAATAAAAGAAGAGAGATCATGTAAAACTGATAACTGAAAATAAATTAATGGAAATAAATTTAAAGATGGAGACTCAACTGGAGAAGAATTTACAAAAAAACACTGGATAAGGAAAAGAAAACTTGGACTCTAAGACCACAAAATAAATTTCAGAATAAGAAAACAGATTTGATAAGATGAACTGCAAAGTTGTTGGGAGTACTACAAGAAATGGAGAGACAAGAGATCACAAGAGAAATCTTCAATGCATATGAAGGGATAAAATCTTTGTACAAAGACATGATGTTTGATTCCCTTTTAATATTTACAACAACACTTACAAGATTATGGAAAGACTTTTTGACTCAACAGATTATATTGATTGGGAAAGAGGTTTTGCAAAAGAGGGCTAAATTACATGACGGGGCGCATCAGAGGGAATATTTAAAAATTAAACACTTGTTCGAATACGGTTGAAGAAATAGAAAGATTATAATCTAAGGGGGATGAACTCCCTAAGCAAGACAGTATTATTTCTCTTTCTTTTAGTTTGTTTTCAAATATGAAAAATATAAACATGTTTGGGATGGTTATTATAAAGGAAATGTTTTAGATATCTAAATGTAATTGATCTTAAGAAAATTCTAATAGATAACTAAAAAAATGTTTTCAAATAGATTTGATTTGATGATTAGATTTATTAAATGGAACATCTAAAGACTCAGCGTAGGTTTAATTATGGATAAAAAGAACAGAAGGAAAAAATTGGGAATAAACTTATATTAGTTTAAGAGAGATATGTATTTTAAGTAGTATATTATATTTCTTATTCTTTTCTCCTTTTTCTTTTCTTTTTTCTTTTTTTCTTTTTCTTTTGTCTCTTTTTTTACTTACTTTCTAAGACATGAATATAGATTTAAATACTTAAATGTAATTAACTTTGAGAAAATGTTAACCAGTAAAAATGTTTTGAACATTGTAGGGGAAACAAATTTAAATAAGAACTGCAAACAGGATTTATAGATGAGGCAGCCAAGATGACTAGATAGAAAAGAAGCATAACATTGATGTGATTATTATTGGTAAATTTTAGAAAAACCTTTATATTTAAATTGATACCTATTAAATTAATAAGAATTGTACTGATTTAAGGTTGGCAAAAAGAATATTATTTGAAGAAGAGAAAATCAAGTAAAGCTACTATCTGGACTTTGGAATAATAAAAATTGACTATTAGTGATTACTTTGTAAAATGTATGCCCAGGCAACATGCTGTTTACCAAATATTAAGGTGTTTATGTTAAAAAAAAACCAATAAAATATGAAATAAATAAATAAAGTGAATCTGGGTAAATTATACCAGTCAGAAGGTATTTAAATATCTGTGTGAAATATAAGCTGACCACTTTTAACTGATATATGGTGATTGCTCTTGCTTTTAAAGCCTTATATTTATTTTACACTTTAAAAAAATCATTTGGATGTTCATTTGAGGTATATTTTTGCTTTTTTAATCATCTTTTATGTCTTTCCAAAAAACAGCTTTACATTCAGCCGATTCTAGGGATTGGGCAAAATCTAGCCTGCTATCGGTTTGGTATCTCCTCTTCCTCCAGTGCCTTGGTTATTGGGGCTACAGTGATGGAAGGATTCAATGTCATCTTTGATAGAGCCCAAAAGAGAGTGGGCTTTGCATTAAGTACTTGTGCTGGTAAGTGATGGGTTCTAAAAAAGAAAAAAAAATCTTTCAAATTAGTATCTTACTTTGCTTATAAGCTTGTAAATGCTTTTTAAGTAAATGCGTACTTAAAAAGCATTTACAAGCTGGCAATTGAAATATGCAAACACACACACATAGTGTGTGTGTGTGTGTGTGTGTGTGTGTGTGTGTGTGTGCATGCACTCGCGGACACATGCATGCTTAGAGCAGGAATCTCAATTTGGAATTGGCTACCTTGATGGGAGGATGGCTTCTCAATTCGCAAAATAGTGATAGGTTTGGCCAGTCAAAAGAATATCCATTTCCTGATCCTCCTAACACTTCATCTTACCTTTTATCTTTTTGTCACCTAAGCTGGCTTATTTTCAAACAATGGCCTGCAATTACCAACGTCTTTCTTTATGAATACTTTTAGAGTTCATGTTAAAGTTCAAACATATTTTTATAAATAGAGAAAAAGCCAAAGGGTTATAAATTCAAACCTGAGGGTCACAAATAGAAGTGTCCTAGATACTCTGTATCAGAGACCCCACTTTTCTATGTGTTTTTGCTATTTTTAATCTTCCAAACAATCTTGCCCAATAGGTGAAGCAGAGCAATTATGATTTCTGAAGGCCTCTTGTGAATTTCACAGGATGGATTGAGGGACTCCGTTTCTTTCATACACTTAGAGCAGGGGTAGGCAACCTTGGCTCTTTTATGACTCGTGGACTTCAACTCCCAGAATTCCTGAGCCAGCCATGCTGACTCAGGAATTCTGGGAGTTGAAGTCCACGAGTCATAAAAGAGCCAAGGTTGCCTACCCCTGACGTAGAGAAACTTTGGATCTGTGTCTTCATTTTCAGTGGATTATTAAATGTTTTGCTATTGAAACTGATGAAACCGGCAAGAACAACTCATGCATGCAAGATGCTCTATGTATGTTCATCAAAAGAAAAAAAAAGAATCCATTGTGTTTCAAGAACAATTATTTAGATACTAAATTGATTTTTTTAATTTTTTTGTCTATACTTAATCACATATGTGCACACACATAAAGGCACACACACATAAGCAATGGAACATTGACTTTTTTGGTGATCTTACGCTTGAACCATCTCAGGAAGAAAAATGTGAATTGGTAGCCTTGCTACTAAAATATGAAGGTGTTTTTTGTAAATGAAAAGGCAAAATTTACCTTAAAAATGGTGTTCTTAAGGCTCATTTGCAGTGCTAAATAGTTTCTAAATGTCTAGATTATCTTCCAATTTCACATTAATCATTAGGCAGAAAAACGTTTCACAGAATTGAAATGATTTCTTTGATTTCACAGATCATAGGAAATAATTGTTACAACAAAATCTTCTAATATTGTGAAATAAAAGTCTATAGTTTTGAATTCAACTCATTTTCCTATGAAATGTCCTGAATGTAAATATGGGGTTTCTTTTGTAACATGAATATTTTCCTCAGCTTGAATTTAACAGAGAGTATGCTAGCATTTAATTCTAAACCCTTATAATTTTTAACATATATATGCTTTTTGTTTCCTCTGTCGGTATTTATCTTTCTTTTAATTTTTTTTATATAGAATTGCATGGTTCTCCAGTATCTGAGATTGAAGGCCCTTTCACTACCACAGATGTAGCAGCCACTTGCATATCAACTATATCCCTCCACGAACCAATCTTGTGGATTGTGTCTTACGCACTTATGAGTTTCTGTGGACTTGTACTTCTCATACTCATCATCTTGCTCCTTATTCCACCACGGTGTCGTCATCGTTATGCTGACGGCGATACCGTAAACGATGAATCGTCCTTAGTACGGCATAGATGGAAATGAAGAATTTGATCAACTCGTGAAGAATCCTTATGTATTCTGATAGGGAATGAAGAATGACTATCCATTTTCCTCACCCTGAGGTTCTTCAGATGGGTTAGGACTACAGCCTGTGCTTCTAAATCAGCATGGTTATATGAGCTGAGAATTACAGGAGGTGTAGTTGAACAGACTTGCAGGCACAAAGTTAGGGTATTTTAGCCAAAGGTGAAAATCCAGGCTTCACTCTGTAGGAATACTATGGCCAATCACCAAATCATCTCCAATTCTCCTTTAACATAAATTTAATACTTTAACAATGAATTATTTTTAGCTATGTTAATATATAGCCATTTCAAATGCTACTCTATTATTTGCTTGATATACAATCACACCAATTAGCATACTTTTTAAAAAAAAACAAAACCTAAAACTTTAGTTTATAGTTCCAAAAAGGTTGTTATCTCCACAAAACAAAAACCTACAAAACATTATTTTGATAAGCCATTCATCAAACTTGCCATAAAGAACAGAAATATTTCTTGGTCTTTGTTTCATTATTTTTTTCATTAAAAATATCTGTTCCTTGATGAATCATGACTTCATCAGTAGCTGGCAGAAAGAGAGATTGATAATTAAAAGGAGGAAAATAAGGCAGATTTTTTTTTTAAAGATTAGGGTTTTTTCCCCTCTTTGGAAAATTATCTGTTTCTTTTTATGATTTAAAGGTGAAACAGAGGAAAACCCATTGTGTAACTTTAGTATGGAACAAGACTGCCTCTCTTCAGAGATTCAGTTCATCAGTATGATATAGGTAGACCTGCTTGATATAGCTGCAGGTCACTTTCAATCCGCATTCAGCACAACTGGAACATCCCTTTGAAGCTTCTCTCCCTCTCCTTCCCACACACACATTCCCAGTTCATGACATTTTAACATTTACAACTTTACCACCCACATCAGTGTCCTGGTTTTCTGAATTCATGCATAAATGATCTTTGAAAGGGTTCTTTGAGCCTTTGTGCACATATCCTGCAGAAATAGCATAGATATAAAGCAAAGTCTCTCCCTCTCTCCATCCCTCCCTCTCTCTCTCCATTTATCAAGACTCTAATGACTAGAAATCAAATTTGTAACAAATACAATTGAAGGGGAATTTCTTCAGTTAAATGACTCACTCAACTGTGACCTGGCTGAGAAAGGTGAAGGCCCATAAATGGTCAAACATTTAATTACTTTACTTAACAATGACAACTTTTATTGATCACCATTTCAGCACGTAGCAAACACAATGCTAGCAGGAACTTATTCACTTATTCACATATTTTTGTCTATGCTAACTCTCCTTCAACTTTGCTTATGCACTTGTGCCAAAGGCCTTCACGATATATGAACATGCATTTAAAACAATACTCATAAATATGATTCTTAACTAAAAAAAAAAAACCTGTAATACTAAAAAAACTTACTGTGGTTAGTGTTATTGTTACATATTTTGTAATTTTGTAAAATTATATTAAATTGCAGAGTCTGATCACAGGGTAAGGAGTAAGCCATTATCTCCATGAGGTACACAAAATCTTTACATACTAGTTATGCTGATGTTGAAAGAAAAATTAATGCACTGGCAAATGTATTACTCTCAGATTACTTTTGAACTTTTGCAGTCCTTTTATTGGTGCCATATTCACTCTGTTTTGGAATACCATTTTGGGATTTGAATAGCATAAATGCATATACTTGAAAAAATAAGCAATAATTGATTCGTTAAGGAAGAGAGACCTCTGTGTGAGTTTTTAAAAAGCTTTAAAAAGCTTTGTTGCTGAAATACGGCTAACAAAGTTTGTACTTTCTGACATTTGCTTGCATTGTTGTTCCAACACACCCATCTAAACTGAGAAGAAGGATGGCAGCTTGGTGAGTGTCACAAGAGATGCTGGGCAATAGTGGGCCAAGGACCATTTTTAACCTCAAAACACACTGTGCAAGTGTAGCATGGAAGTTGAAAGGTTATGAGGTCTCAAAACATTTCAATTGACATTTTCTCTATCATAAAGGTTATTTATACCTGTAATTAAATTGAAATAAACTTTTATGTAAAAATTTTCCATAGGCATGTTGACTGATTAGTTAAGGACTGGTTTTGTTCAATGAATTCTGTGCTACTTTTATGAAAGGTGTCGTTTCCACAAGAAACAGCTGTTCTTAAACTTCAGTCTGTCTTCAATGAAAACAAGCAGTCAGCTCAAATGAAAGGACAAACAGGATCCATTGTAAGAGTTAAGATGATTGACAACTCCCATGCAGAGGTAGACTAGTACAGGTAACCCTCGACTTACAACCATAATTGACTCCAAAATTTATGTTGCTAAGCAAGACATTTGTTAAGTGAATTTTACCCCATTTTACGATCTTTCTTGCCACAGTTGTTAAATAAATCTGGCTTCCCCATTGACTTTGCTTGTCAGAAGGTTGCAAAAGGTGATCACATGACCCTTGGACACTGGGACCATCCTAAACATAAACCAGTTGCCAAGCATCTGGATTTTGATCACATGACTCTGGGAATGCTGCAGTGGTTGTAATTGTCATTTTTTTCAGTGTCATAACTTCAAACGCTCACTAAATGAATGGTTGTAAGTCAAGGACTACCTGTATTGGCAGACTGCAGGTGGAGGAGCAAGCTTCAAATGGGCTTCTTTCAAAATATTGTATTTTTAGCACCAGCTTCTTTGGTGAGATAAACATCTTCATTCAGTTTTGATGGTTCTATCTAAATAGATTTCATGGATTGATCTGATTATATAAGATACAGCACACAAAAACATTTATATTCTGTCTTTATTAGTTTGTGGTGATCTGAACTTCACCCCTTATTTCATTTTGCTTGCCATCTTTTAGCTTTATTTTTTTAATTCTAATTGCATTGATTATTGTGCACCATCCAGAATTGTTGAGAGGTAGACAGTGTGTGAGTTTAATAGATTTTATTCCTTAATGGTGGCAGGTTGTAAAACATACTATATTTTGCTTTCTTCAATCTAATGAGGACTAAACTCTATCTAATTTGCAGTAATGTACATATTTACAGTACCTTGGAGCAAAATGCAATGAACTGAAAACTGCATGGCTCTCAAACCATTTTTTTACAATTAAAGAATTACACATCTCTTAATTCTGTCTAAAACATTGCTAGTTAAAGTGTGGTGGGTTGCCAGGTGCTGGTCCGCTTGTTTGTGGTCCACAATAAGATAAGTACAATATCTGAAATTAAAAGTTTAGAAACTTTTGTAGCAATTTGAATTGTCACAACATCCTATCAGTTCATAACAGACTGGAAATTTTAAAAAAAATGAAACTATCACTGCAGATAGATCTAAAGAGTTTTCCAGCATTTCTATTCCTAAAACCTGCTTGAAATCCAAAATAACTTAATGCCTATAACCCTCTTTCTGCCAACTAACTTCTGCTTATTTAACTGTTCCTAAGCTGATTTCATCTTCAGTAAAGATGATTATTGGATCTGAGTTGGAATAGGCAATGATTCTCGGTGGAATTTATCCCATTTGTTCCTTTTACACCATTTGTTTTTGTGAAGTATTGGCAGTAAGAACTTTGGATTCTTGCTTATCCACAGTACTGCTTTATTAAAACTATCTGATGAAAGAAGGCATTTCTGTGACCAAAATTTGCTACTCTAAAGAATATATGACTGTCTGTTCCATATGATAGCTACTATATTACTCATTGTGCGTTAACTATATATATGATTAAAACTTTTCATCTGCTAAAAAAAAGAAGAAAATAGCTGAATATAAAGAGTATATTTTCAAGACTAATGTTCTAAAAAAGACTAGATACTAAAATAAAATTCTGATTATGGAGGGAGTGTTTACTGGTGATAATGAAAATACAGGTCTTTTGAGAATAATAATGATGACCATAATAATGAAGAAAGACTATATTAAAAATAGATCTTAGAAGCACATATGAGTATTTCTATTTCCTCCAAGCAAATTATCAAATTAGCATGGTTAAAAGAAAAGAATTTGGCTAGCAAATAATAGTTAGTCCGCAATAGAATGTGGAAATAATCAGAAAACAAGCCTTATTTTCCTAAAAGTCAAAATGAACAAAGGTAAGTCTGTTGACAGGACCATCCAATAACAATCAGTTATTGTTGCTTCTGCAGTGAGGTGGGCTGGATATGTTAACTGTGAAATAGCCTAAACAAGTGTCCCTTTTAGCAAATCTGCAGTCAGTTGTTTAATAGTAAGAACAGGAATGAACTGTAATGGAGAAGAGTCTCTGTGGGAGTGTCCTGCACATAAAGTTGCTCACAGCTATTGCCTAGCCCTAGTCAGTTAATCTGTACAAAGTGACCTTCAGGATTTTTTGAGAAGTTTGTGCAGTGACTACCGTATATGGATATACAAAGAGGAATAAACATCTTGTGCCTCAGAACTGCAGAATTGGATAGAGGATATACTGATATCAGCCAGCAGTGGATTACCTATGTACGTATAGCTGAAGACAGGGAGGACCACATGTACAGATCTAATGAGATGCCAAGAGAGGTGAACATTTGTAGCTCAAGGTTGAAATGTGGGATCTTTGGTGCTTTCTGAGCTTGCTTGTTTTCTTGCAGATGTTTCATTGCCTACTTTGGGTAATGAAATATTTGCAAGAAAACAACCAAACTCAGCGAGCACCAAGGAGCTCTCAAATTGCAAAGATTATGTAACATCAAAAATTGGTATCTGTATTTGCTTCCTTTCATTTTCCCTCCCAATTTTGCTTCCATTTCTTATTGATTCTCATATGTTGAACAGGCCAGTAGGAATGCCTTCACTTTTCAATCTTTGTACAACAGTAAGAATAATGTAGATGCACTATAACTGATAAATAAAACCATAAAACTTGTCAAAAGTACGAGCTACCATTATAAAATAAATTGTGAGAATACATGTCAGTCATTAGGTTTTTGAACTGTTGGTGTTTCGTTAAAAACTTTTCTAGGGTAATCTGTTTTCAGACATACACAATATACTACAGCATTTTTCTCTAAACTGGTTTATAGATTTAGGTTTTCAATGTATGTATTTGTGCTTAATCCTCATAATGCCATATATCTGATACTTAAGGGGATATGGCACTATGTTACATGTCCTTACTCCTCCAAACTTACCTTTGAAAATGATGAGGAATTTAAAGGCAAAATGTGAGCAAACAACATATGTACTTTTATATTTCTGTTGAGCCTGATTGCTACTACAGAGATTTGGACTATACTGAAATCAAAGCTCTTTTCTGCCCTCCAGTGATCATCTGAAGTTTTGCATGGTTATTACAAGCCATGCAAAAGGGAGTTGGGGGGGGGGGGATAGAAAATGGACAACTAAGGGCAAAGTAGATGGATTCAGTTACAATGGCAATGAGAACACTGTTAGAAGACCTGAAAGACAAGATTAGGGGTAGATTGTCATGGAGAAAAACTATCTGGTCGCTAGGGGGGTGAAAATGATTTGATGGCACATAAACACATCTGGAATAGGAAACTTTTACATCAGAGGAAAATAGCCCTTTTGGTTTAAAGGGCAATACTACATGCAGAGGTGGGTAACTTTGGGGACTAGGAGCACATTCTGAATGTACATATGATGGATACAAATATAGCTACCGTGACAACTTTTCTGTTTACATAATGGCTGCTAAAGTGGTTAAGGCCAGTCACAAAACAGTCATTGTCAAAATGAGGAGTCAGTCTGGCAGCAGCAGCAGCATCCATAATAGACACTGCCCTTTTTGTACATACATAATGTACAAAATATACATGATGTATATTTTGTACATTATGCACATATTTTGTACATTATGCACATATTTTGTACATTATGCACATGTATAAAAAGGGTGGAACTTCTCGTATAATGGCACTGCTGCTTTTGACATTTTGATGAAAATGAGAATCTTCAGTCATTCCTGTGAGACCCAAATGTTATACTCCAAATAAACTTGTTAGAGACTGGGGCTTCAATTTGCAACATGCCAGGTTCTTATTGTATGCTTTTTATTACAGGAAATATTTAAAAAAAAAAACAGGGCAGGGAAGTGTCTGAGGTTACATTTTTAATAATTAGTTCCATCAATAAAGGACTGCAAATCTGAATGAACAGTGTAATTTAGAAACAGGAAGGTCTTTAGTCAAGATGGGATAACAAGAGCTGGGGAAAACAAGGAATCGCCCCACACACACATACACCAATAAGATAGGATACTGTTAATGGTATAACTGAGGTGTCATATCAATGTAGCTAATGGTGGGATTCAGCCAGTTTGCACCACTTCGGCAGAACCGGTAGCTAATTTTTTGATGCCCAGGCCCAGAATGGACTTCTGGAAGTGGCATCCACACAGAGAACCGGTTGTTCACATATTTGAATCCCACCAGTGAATGTAGCTAAGGAACTTATTTTGTTGTTGTAATATTATTGCCAAGGTGAAGGAAACAGTCCTAGGATACTTTCAGAAGCCAAAATAGAGAATTCAATCCAAGAAGTATCGTATTAAAAAGGCTGTTGGATATTATTTAACAATTTATATTTATTTAATTTAATGGCTACTTTTCTGCCTTTTTCTTTAGAGAAATGGCAGACTTAATTTCTTTTTTCAAACATGTTTATTCTTTTATCGCCAAAAAAAAGAAAAAAAAGACTAACAAATGTCCAACACTAACAACAACAAAGAAAGAAAAAACATGTGTACAAAAAAAGAAAAAAACCCAGATACCAAATACATTTAATACTAAACATAAAAAAAATCTACCCCTGGCTGAATGCTGAAAGATATTTTTAAAAAATCTAATATATTCCCCTTCTCTTACATAATGGTCTATAAATAGTTATAAACTTGCCTATCTGTATTTAACAAAAATGCTATATTGTATAAACAAATATTCCTGATGCGGAAATTAATTGTGTGTGTGTGTAAACCAGGCATGTCAAACTCGGGACATCACATGATGTCGTGCAACATATCACAACTTTTTCCCCATTGTCGGCAATGGGGTGGGCGTGGTTTTGGCATGACACATCCGGCCTATGGGCTGGCAGTTTGACATGCCTGGTGTAAACAATCAACAGGTCACCCCAGAGTTAAAACTAATCTTAAAATCCTTCTGTTAGTCATCTGTCATTTTATTTAATATGTAGAAAATCCACAAATGGTTTCCAGTCTCTTATAAACTTGTGTAATCCATTGTCTTTAATCAGAGCAGTTAATTTTGTCATCTTTGCTAATTCAGCCAATTTTAAAATAGAAATGACAGGCATAACTTCTAAAAATGGATTTAGTCTCAAAATAAGATACAAATAGCATCAATGCATTATAAAGGATATAATAAACTAGCTGAGTTTTACAAAACCATTAACAATCCTGTCTTATATTTATGCTGTACTCTGGGATTTTAAAAATTATTTGTTAAGAGAGAAGAAGAATACATACTCCAATATCTTTAAAGAAAATGTGCAATAGTATAGAAGCCAGAGAAATCATCACCTAACTTTGTATGAGTTTATACATAGCAAGGTTTTTTTGTTAACAGAATGAAGAAAAAGCTTCTAACCAAGAAGCAAGCCACAAGCCAGCATCTACAGTATGCTTGTATTGTAATCTGAAGACCAAAAGCCCTGTCATATCAGCTGGCACTTCTTTCCAAATGGTTAAAGTGCAACAATTTCCCTTTATTTGCTAAGTTTACTTTAGAACTTGCTCTGCAGCTTGGTTAGTTGGAAAGGTTTAAAAACTCTCCAGCTAGCTGATTACGCAATATTCAGGCAGTTTCTTTTCCATCAATCAAGCTTCCTTCTTCCCCACTTTGTAGGACTGCCCTCCTTTTGCTCACCTTCAGTTGTAACTTAGGGTGTGACTAGGCAGCCGCCCAGGTGCAGCAGTAATATGCTCTCAGCTTTTTCCCTCCAGCTAAGAGAAAAAAAACTAATATTGTGCAGCAGACTGAAACTGCTCTCAAGATCTGCAGCTGGCTGAAGGCAGTTTTGGAGAGTCCAACAAATTTACAAAAACGATGCTGATGCGGACCAACTGCAGGTGTGAGTATTCTTTACATCCCTTTTGCCCTATATCTAAACTTGTCTTTTTCTCTTTTTCTTGTTATTCCAAGCAGCATTCCTAAAAGAGCTGACTTGGTTTGATGTTTTGTTTTGGATTTTTTATAACAGAGCTTCAGTGGGCCTTTCCTTCCATGTTTACTGATATATCAAATATATTAAATAAATATAAAGTAAAATGGTGCGCATGTGCCAGAGCAGGCACCAAACCTTTGTTTCTCGTTCATAGCAGCCGCAGCTCAGCCAGGAACTTAGAGGCAGTCTGATCATTTCTCAGATTCAGAAAGAATACCCTGTCTCTGAATGTATTGTTATCTGCATGACAGAGAAACAGTTCTAATATATTCTGTAATTTATAATTATACAACATTCTCCCTTCAAACAGATTATCTGATTTTTATCATTGCAAATTTTGTAAGAAAGACAAGGGCTTGTTGTTTCCCATCTCAAAACAGTATTTTTCAGTACCATAGAAATCAGTTCCTACTCACTGTGTCTAGTATGTCTAACAAAATATAGTACCTTTACTTCATAAGCTTGGTTAATAACATTGAACATAGTCCAGAGAAGAACATACCAGTGGCTTATTTTACATCCCAGAATTTATTCAGATATCTGGTTGCTTAATAACTCCTGTTATCAAGTTCTACTATTCTTCCATAGCAGAACAAAATATTTTAAGCCAATGAACCCAATCTTGGGTCTTGGATGAGTAATAGTACAGGGCAGAATAAATTGGAAATAAATGCAGTCCTTCTGTAGAGATGGGTCTAATATAAAATCACATTTGAGGATGCTGAGTATATATATACTCTGTGGTTTGAGTATGTTAACTGTGAATAATAGGCTCCGTAGTTCAAGGAGAGAGTTATATCATGAAAGCTGTTGTAAAACGTTGAATGCTAAATTAATGATGATAGGATTAATAGGATGTGTTTTAATAAGAGAGATTAAAAGAACAGCGAATCAGCCAGAAAGGAATGGTAGGGCTTGTAATACTGTATACAGTTTGTCCAAAGTCTGTTATGCAAAATGCAATATTATAATGTTCTCCTGCAATATAACTTTCCAAGTCTGTTGTTTTTAGTGCCACGTAGAGGTCAAGATGTAGATTCTTACTGTACTTTAAGATATTAATAAGAGATTATGCAGCCAAAATGGCTATTTTGTAGGACGACATACTTTACATGCCAGTGTAGAAAATTTGTTATGAATCAATAGATGAGAAATATCTGATTAGTCTTCAGAATAAATGTTTAATTGTTGATTTTGATTTCTGCTGCAGACTTATAGCAGGGTTTGGCAACTTCCTACAGGTTGAAAGTTCAACTTCACCAGAAGGGTGAGGCTGAAAATGGTGGCCTTTTGCTGGCGATGCTGTGACTTTTAAGGGTAGAAATGTGACCATTTTGATATTATTCAGTCTTGCTGGTTTGTTTCTAATATTCACCCTTGTCTCTTCCTTGCTCACTCTTCTTTCTCAATGACTTATCTTTCTGCTACTTTTTCATTATCATCTCTCTCCATCAACTTATCCCTTGCTTTTCTTTTCTTTTCTTCTTTTCTTGTTTTCTCTTACACAGTCTCCCTTGTGATTTCCCAACAACTGATGGCTGTTAACAGGCTCTGGTGGATTCCCTCCCCTTTCATTTCAGCCAGCATCATTCTGCCACATGAAATTACTAGTTTCATTTGGATAGGGATCCTGCAGTAACTCTGTTTTGGTGCTTTGCAGATTGCCAGTCTGGCATTAAAGGCAGCCAGATATCTCATCTGCTTGGTGACCAAGCCCAAAGAAATTGCCAGGAAGTAAGGATGGCAGGGGGAAGGGACTAGATGCTTGTAGCTGCCAAAGGCAGCCAACAGAAACTAGAAAGAACTCAATTCCTAACTATATCATAGTTATTGAAGCATCAGAAATCAGGCATAAAACAAAACGTCTGTCAGGAGATGGAGAATACCATTTTAACATTAGGCAAATGTTATATGAACTGCCTGCTAGGGATGAAGCAAATACTGTTGACACAACACTATATTTAAAGAATGGTTACTAATTATCTTCAAGGGATAGTTGTGGGGAGATGTGCGGGGAATAATGTTTGCCCATTGAGAGGAATATGAGGTAGAAAGCCAGAAACACAGGAGAAAATGGCTCCGAAGTCTCAAGCTGCTATGTAGCCCCTTCAGGTTTTTCCACAGAAAAATAGGGTTGAAGTATACTCTTAATAGGGTTGAAGTATACTCATCTAAGAGAAAGAAGCTGAGATGTACATGTACGCAATATATGACCTACCCAAACTTGGTGCCATTATTTCCACATCCATAGGTATGAGGGAATGAAGGTGGGGTAGCTGTCTATGCTTGGGAAAACCAGCTGCAGCCAGAAAGTCTTCCCATTCTACTCTCCCAAGGATCAGCATAGCTCATCCTTTTTGCCAAAAGACCCAGTAACTTCAGAAATGGATTCATTCATTCATCCATCCATTCAGTCACAATTACAAGTAAGCAGTCATGCTGGCATTCTAGCTGCCTGGTTAATTGAACTGCATCCTGGCATTTTCAGGAATGTGCTGATGTCAAGAGGCAGCCTCACCCCACCCAGTTCTCAGTTTACAAAAGGAAAAGCTAAGATGATGGATGGGTTTTGTTGTGTTCTTTTGTATTCCCCCTCCTTAATCCCTATGCGCATCCTGATCACCCATTAAGGGTGATTGCCCTTCTCCATCTGCATACAGTTTCATGCCCGTTGCTGGTTGGCTAACTCGCAACGGGGTCTTACCAGCCAATGGAATTGTGTGATTACGAGCCAGGGGAATCCCATAAAAGAGGGCTCCCCTGGCCCAGATGCCATTCCGGATTTACTTTATGCCTTGCCAATAAACCGAGAGCTGACTGTCACTCGACTCGTATCTTACTGCCTGCGTGATCTAACACTGGCGACGAGGGTGGGATCCCAGTAAGACTGCACGACAAGGGCAACCTCGTGGCAAGCAACCTACTTCGAAGCAAGAGCTCCTCCACGCAGCCTTCCGAAGCAAGAAACTATCCGTGACTCCAAGATGGCTTCCACCTCAAAATTCTCATCTTCCCTACCGGCATTCAACCCAGAAACAAACGACTGGGCCGCATACGTGGGAAGATTCGAGCTACACCTGGCCGGGAATGGGCAACAAGGCATTCCCGGGGATCAGAAGAAGGCCTTATTCCTTGCGAACTGCGGAGACGAGGTCTACCACGTGGCCCGCTCCTTGGTCGCTCCAGCCAACATCGAGGACACTCCTTGGGCAGATATCCAACGTCTGCTGGCTGGTCAGTACGGGATCTCCGAAGGGTTCCTAGTCGCAAGGAACCGCTTCTACAACCGACGACAACGGGCGGGCGAACCCATCAGAAAGTACCTCGGAGAGCTCCGATCGATCGCAGCCCGTTGCAAGTTCGTCGCCCTGGAAAATATGCTGCGGGATCGACTCGTCATGGGGATGAGGGACAAGCACGTGAAGAAGCGACTCATCGTGCGTCAAAGTCTCACCCTCAGAGAAACCCTAGACGAGGCCCTCGCCGCAGAAGAGTCCGAATCCATGGCCACCGAGATGAGACGGGGTGACATCCATCGCACCCATCGCGAGCCAACCCCCGATCCGGAGGCCACCGAATCGGACGAGGCCGGCGAGAAAGAGACCGTCCATCGCACCTTTACCAGCCGGAAGCAGTGAGCATGGCGAGACGAGCGGGACGACCTCGAGTGTCCAGGTGTTGGGGGAACCACACACGAGCAAACTGTCAGTTCCTAGACACCACGTGCAGCCGCTGCCTGAGGCGAGGACACATCGCAAAAGCATGCCGAGCCTCACGCCCAAATTCCAGGAAACCGCGTTCGCCCCCACGGAGGCACACGTCTCCACCACGACGATCCCCACCACGCCGCTCACCACCCCATAAACCACGTGAGAACAAATGGAAGGGGTCAGCCCGACCTGAAGGGAGGCGCGACCAGAGAAGGGGCTACGACGACGACCAGGACGAGCGTAAAGTGCATCACATGGTTGTCAGCCACACCAACTCGACTGGCGCGGAAAGGTTTTTCGCAACGGTCATGATCGGGAGGAAACCATGCAAGATGGAGGTGGATACGGGATCCATCTGTTCCATCATGTTGTGGGACAAGCTCAAAAGACTGCTGCTGGAGCTGTCCCACACCACCCTGGAGAAACCAACGGGACGGCTCGTAGACTTCAACGGCCACGATCTTCGCGTGCTAGGTCGAGCACGGGTGGACGTCTCGTTCCGGGGACACAAAGCTCGCCTGCCGCTAACCGTTGTGGAGG